AGACACATCACAAAATGCAATCACAATTATTGCAAAACTTGTGTCCTCAAGCGATGACAATTTCCCCGCCATAATCCATATTCGGGCATTCATATTCTAGAGATGTGTATTGTCCTTCAGAATGTATTGCAGATTTTTACTTAATTTTAGATTTTTACTCCTGCGGGTAGTAAAAATGTTTCTATTTTCGCAAATTTGTTGGATTAAAAAAAATCCCTGTGCATACGGACCATAAAATTACGTGCGCGTGTGTGTGTGTATGTGATTATTGCATGGCCTTCATGCACCTCGCTGCGTGCGTACGTGGAAGGATGCACGGATGGATGGATGTTGGGGAGGCCCCCACGGGCACACGCAAGGCAACGTGCACGGCGGGTGCGTGACGTTGATTTCGGCTCTTGCCTTTGGGATGCGTTTGAGTTGAGGGATTCAAAACGATGCTGGTCTTTGATGAAGTTCTGCATGCGCGCGCTCGCGAGCGTTGAAATGTTCCTTTCCAAAATGTCGAAAGAGTCAAATTGTCCATGGGCCCAAATGTCTTCATTTACATTTCAATTTAGCGTCTTCATCAATCACTCTGACAAAAAAAGCTGCTTGATAAGTTACACACAAATATATATATATATATAATCCCACTTCAAAAATCTGATGTCATAAATTTACCCAACGGGAACGAGCGATTTCAGCGATAAAGTGTTACGCAAAAAAAACAACAAAATTCAGCTCTCGTGGGGCTTTTTTGGTGCGTTCTCACGGTTGGGACACGCCACGACGCGCACGCACTTTGCTGACATATTTTGCCAATAATTTTCAGGTACGTGCTTTCAGTTTTCAACAAGAAGAACAGCACGGCCTGTTGCCACGAGTTTTTTTTTCTACGCGTAGGCAAACGCACGCTTGGTTTTGGTTTAACAAGTGAACAAAATTGAGCAACCAAAAACGACCCGTTTTGTGTCGTTTTTTTTTTGTTGTTTTTTTTTTTAAAGGAGGTGAATCAACTGTGAAATGTGAACTCATTATCGTGTTCTGAAGTACTGTACCACGCCGATGTTTTTGGAGCGAGAATGTGTGTGATAAAGGATTTGTATCATTCATATATATATATATATATATATATATACATATATATATATATACACACACACACACACACACACACACACACACACACACAGACACATCACAAACCCCCCTTTCTCTCTTTTTTACCAATGAGGCAGTCATGAAGAAGTTCCATGGTAGCAGCGTCCCCCATCC